ACGTAAAGAGCGCTGCAGTCACGAAATTTACGGTCATTTCGCATTAACATTAAATTTGTAATTGTTTTGAATCCCAAACCTTCAGCTATAAGCTGAATCCCGTTTCTTGTGAAAAAATTTTCAAACTTTTGTGTCAAATACTGAAAAATCACTCAGCTTATAGGTGAAGAAATACGGTAATGGGGTTTGCACAGCATAAGGGAAATGAGGGAAGAGGGAAGAAGGAACAAGAACTGGGAGAGGACTGAAAAAACACGGAAAATTGCTTATGGTTAATCTGCTATATTTCATGAAAGAGAGTGGGGGACAGGATGGTACAGTACCGGAAGTGTGAGGCCCTCAACCACCTCTCAAACCCCTTCCCCATTTAATATCCCTACAAACCACTACAAGGTCAATGTTAACAAAAGCCTGAAAAATAATCCAAAACAGAATTTGCAGTTAGAGTTTTATTTTAAGTTTCTACACAACATAAGATAGAAAATATCCAGCATACCCATCAGAAAATGAAATTGTCCCTGTCTTATCTTTGGCCATGTTGTGTTTTATTCTGAGTGAGAAAAAAATTTTTAATTCAGTGTTATTTAGAACAGCCAACCTAAAACTAAAAACAAAAAATCTTGACATTGAAGGAAGAGGGCTGGAAAGCAAAGTGCCAGAGATGAGGCTTTTACTTGAGTGACTGGGGGTAATTCTTAAGAAAAGCTTCCAAAATTCTAGTTGGATAATCATAATAATCATATTAAACATGATATTGATAATGATGAAAATTAAAGTAATGCAATATGATATAGTGGTGATAACTGTAATGGTAAGAATATTTTATTTATACTGAATGATCAGCAGGAGGAAACTAAATCACTACCAAAAAAACACTCTGCCCGGTTGTCAAAAGATTTTCAGTGCTCAAGGCAATAGATTTTCAAACAAAAAATGAAGACTTACTCTCCTGTCTCAATTTTGAGAAGCTGATTGTTGTTCAGAGCATTCAGGATATAAACAACTGTTTCAATGACATGAGTGCCCGTCAGTATAAGATCACCCTGAAATGATCAAGAACTATGTCACAATACTTTAAAGAACTTAAGTGTCAATAAAGGTATTTCTGTTTTACATTGACGTTGAAGGGTTAGTATTCACGAGAAAAAGGGATGATCAGGTAAGACACTGTGGATTACACATGATAAACCTGAAAAAAAATCATTTCACTTCAGTATGACTAGAACTGTGCAAATGATGGTAAAATCAATATTTCCATAAAATGCTTAAGCTCACCTTGTCCCCTCTGTCTTCAATTGGTAAGTGAAGAACAATAACTCCATCCGTTTTAGAGCTGACTGAAATACCTAAGAATGTAGCACAATTCAAAAATATTATTTTCCTATGAAGCATAGCATATTGAATTTCCCGTACTGCAATATTATCAATGCTATATTGAAAATATTGTAAGACAATTGGTCCATGCTTTGACTGTAGGCTCATCAAAAAAATAAAGCACTTGAGAAGTTTGGAGAATACCTATGCTGCAAGTAACTTTTACACATCTTAATTTGATAGTCTCCAAACTTTCCTTGTGATTCAAATCTATAACAGCACATGCTAAAATATGAACCCATGATGGCATCTACAGCACTGAAGTCATAATAACTAATTGCAATTTATCTAAAAATAATCTATTTAAATCTCTGATTCATGGAATCCCTGATTCATGACATTCCATTCAAATCTGTGGTCTCTACCGTTCTACTTTTTCCTCCTTCCACAAATATTAAAACTTTATTCCTTGCAGATTAACTGTTTGTTTTGGAGGAAAGTAAACTTCTGCAGCTGTTGCAGATGAATCTTAAGTCCCCAAACAAGCATGGTATTCTTAGATGTGGCCTTGATTTGGTGGGGCAGAGCAAAATTCAAGGCAGCATTTAATCATTCAAATCAGATATATACTGCACTCACCTGTCAAACTGCTGTTGGTAATTCTATGCTTCAGCTTGTAAGTCTTGTCATCCAGAATGTAAATTGCCTGCAATGAAACAAGCACATCACAGACGTGAAATAAGTGATAGAATTATTATATAATTAATAACAATATTAATTTTAATAACTTATGAAGGATTTAATTCTTTATAATAACATTTATAGTAACAGTACCAATAGTGATGATAATAAAAGTTAAATCAGATCAACAAAGATGATCACAATATTAATATTACTAACAATATTGATAATATTTATCTAGTTTCCATAGCATGAAGTGTCTAAGAGCATTACTACCTCCCCCTGGATGGAATGCAAGTCCACTGTAAGGTTACCACCCAGCATTTCACTAGGCTTCCCTGACAATTCCCCATGAGTACCATTTATATTCCTGGGAGGAGAGAGACACTGTGAGAGAGAAGTGTCTCACTAAGAACACAACACAGTGACCTGGCCAGGTCTTGAACCTGGTCCACTCCATCCTGAGTCTGGTGCACTGACCATTTAGCCACTGGGTCTCTTTGGACCAGACATGAAATGTAAGGAAAAGGGAGAAGATGTTTTTTTCTCAAACAGTACCTGTTCTGTTAGGATTAATATACGTGTCCTCAGTTTGTACCCATTTCTGTCATACTTGTGAACTCCAGTGCAGTACTAAGATAGAAAAAGAAGCATGTTTAAGTGAAGCCACTCACAAGCATTCTTATGTAGAGTGAAATTTGAAGCTGATTATTTAAATATCAACATCATTATCTGCCTCAATAATCATTCTTCTGTCATAAAATCTACTATACACTGATCATAACTAAACAAAATTCATAATCCTTAGCATTCTTTTCATTTCTAAACAGATAGAATATTCCAAAGGGCAGTTAAAGATAAGACATCCAGAAGTAAAAGAAGAAGTTAGGGAAGGAGGGTCAATTGTCAACAGTAATAAATGGGTTCTCACCCTAATGGTTTCTGATGATGGAATGATCTGTTTGTCTGTTACAACAGTCTTCTTCAGCATTTCCAAAGCAACACCTGTACAAGATACAGTGAAAATATAATGACCACAAAATCCAATAGTCAGGGATTCAATTTCCTTACTTTATTTGTAGTTCCACCCTTGCGAAAAACTAACAATGTCTTACTTTATGTACTGAGAGCTTTGCAGGACTATTACTTAAGCAAATAAAATGAGTGAAATGGATATTACCCTGATTTAAAATACATAGAAGTTTACTTGGTCGATACATTACAAATCTGAATTTTTTTTCATCATGAAACGCCATGGAATCTACCATGATGAGCATTGGAATGGCAAATTAATGTACATTTTACATCAGTACACAAATAAACACACAGATAAACAAATAACTGAAGGCAATACCTAGCCTGTGAGGCTCAAATGGCATTGGTATACTCTCTTCATAACTGGCCTTCTTTCCTTTAAACATTTCACTGGCTGTGACCTTCATGTTGAGCTGAAGAAAGAAAGGTAACTGATTGATTCACTGCATGGAGGAAATTAATTGAACAAATCTTTTTAACAGTATGTTGTCTATAAGACTTTGGAGAATATTGTATCTGGAAATGCTTGCAACTGAATATAGATATTTATACCTTGAATAAAATATGGACTAGTGCTTGGGTAGGCTAATACCACATGTGCATACATACCAAAAAAATTTACATGATAAAAATGTCTTTAAAGGAATGTTTTCAAGAACCATGTTTTTGCCATCAGTTGTCAAAGATTAATAATAATAATCACAGGGTGTAAGACCATTAATCTTCTAGAGTGACTGGCATCTAGTATCTCCTTACAGCATCCCCCTTGAATCAAACATTAAGGTCATGAGAATAAAAGAAATGATCACCAGCTAAAGGGAGTCTGGATTGTGATGAAGTCCTCCCCATCAGTGTTGTAGGAAATGTATATTGAATAGTATAGAAGATATGCATATTAAAATAAGGAATGAAGGGCCAAATACTGACCTGGGCTTTCTTCTCTGGTGTGATGCCTTGAACATACTTTCTTACGAGGTGACGAGTGTGCATTTTATGAAGTTGTTCAGAAACCTGTTAGAAACAATGAAATCATCCTCACATTCTGAGAAAGTTGAGCAAACTACGGGAAAGAAGACCACTGAAAAGGGTTGAAGTTTTCACTCAAAAGCCAAGTGGAAAACAAGGCACTGGTGCTTATCCCATCATCCATAGCATGGAGCATCTGGTGTATTGCTACTCCCCTCCTCCCTTTCCACCATTTATGGACATTCATACTCCTAGATGAGAAGAGGCAATGTGAGAAAAGTGTCTTGCCCAATGACAGAATTCAAGGACCCAGCTGCAGCCCAGTCTTACACCTGAACCTCGTAACCCCCAGTGCAGCACACTGACCTTAACATCAAGACCCAGTTTTTCAAAGTTGGGTTAATCTGAAAGCTTGAAATGAAAATTCAGTACCATTTTTTTTGTCTACAATCTGGTGAAAAGTTTTCAGCAAATGGCTCATGAACAAAAAAATAAAGAAACCAGATTTAAATGTAACCCTGGCTTAGCAATAATCAGCCTTTGAACAACTGGGCCCAGATCAGCCTTCCTCCTGCTCAAAAGCTACTGTATCGAACTAACCTCCACCATTGATCCAGGAGGCTTTGGCCAGCTCTTGTCCAGGACACTACTGGGTAAACGTTTTGCCAGCAACAGAAGATATGACTTCCTTACATAGGCAATAAACTGAAAAAATGCAACTTATTTTAGAGGTGTTGTGAAAATTTGCATCATTATCCTAATATACAGCTCTGCTTTGATAGCCTTTGAATCATTTCCCAACTAAAACTGGAACTTAAGTAAAATTCCCTCCTTTTTTAACAGAAAACATCCCTGTAATTTGTTTCCTGTGGAAAATTGTGCAGTTGATTGTCTTTTTTCCAAATACACATGTGCTTAAGGAACTGTTTGGTAAGTTAATTATGAGACAAGGTGTAAAGATGGAGCAAGAAAAATTGCAATTTTAGTCAAGACATGAATAAGTTAAAGGCTTACTGATACAGAAAGATGCTTCCAAGCAAAAGGTTCAGAAGCTATCCCCTCCCTACCACAATGAAACCTTCCATTCCCTTTCACTACTGGAAAACCCTTTTCTGGAGTTACAATTCATGGAAAGTAAGTATCTAAACCATGTAGAACATAAAAATCATTACTCACATCAGTATTTTCTTCACTTGCAGACTGGTTTCTTGTTATGAAACCCTTTATGAACCTTTAAAAGATTAAAAAGTGATCATTATATAATTATAAAGAACAACCAAAAACACCAAAAGAAAGACGTTGCTAAATAACAACACCTACTTGCGTATCCGATAGGCAGCTTTTCTTCGTCGTTCAAGCAGCCTTTGGGCACGAACTCGTCTCCAGTGTTTTGCAATGACAATGACAGCCAGCCGCATCCTAACATATTTTTGTCTCTGGTTGTAGCCCCTGAACTGAGCTTGGATGATTGTCGCTGTTTTATGATTAAAATTTCTCTCATTATCTTAATTAATATATGCATTACACTTAACTTATAAAAGGTTAAATGATCATGACAAACATTGCAATTGGAACCAGAAGGAATGAAAATTTAAGATACAAAACAGTCAAAGTAAATTGCAAGGTTTTGTGATCACAACTTCCAAAAAAAAAAAAAACTCAGTCACCACATTTCATACAAATGAATACTTTGTCTACTTTTTTCACTATGAATATTAGGAATTAAATAGATTAGAAGTACAAGTATTTAACAAGCCACATTATTCAAGAATTAATAAAAACACTCCCTAGCCCAATTCACTTCATATTATGACACATGCACATCAAATTTAATGTTCAATTTTGTTGAACACAATTCTCCTTACACAGAATGAATTAAGGTACAAATTGCAAGTTCCATAATTCATGGTAGGCCTCTTATTCTAAATATTAAGCAATTCTCTAATTAAGAAAGCCATCTTAAGAACCATACCAAGGGCAGGTTTCTTAGCTTGAAAAGCATCCTCTGTGGTGAACAATGTTAGGGGAAATCTGATGAAAATCTTTGACCTATCAAATAAATTGTGAATACTTAGTTGAAGAAATACAAAACATTCAACACTTGGTACCTAGAAGCCAGAAAGGGGAGAAGGAAATTCTATCTGTAAAAAACATAGCCTCTTGAAAATTTTGAAGAAAACTCCCCTCTTCCACCCCTCACCCCTAGGAGACCAATCAAGATGTAGCTTACCAGCCCTTAGTCAACTCCCTAAAGATATCAATTCTCTTTTCTAAGTGGCATAGACCATCATGTATTATGAAAATGCCTTTCTTCCATTTCTTTGTGCTGCAAGCTACTTAAGGTAAAGCTGCCTTTTTCATATTAAAAAAAAGAAATGCTTACATTTGAACTTAACAATCTGGGCAAGACCAAAATCAAAGACTTGTATCCCAAAGGGGAAGATAAACATCACTGACTCTTTCATACAGGAGTTATCCATAAAAATGATGGTAACTATTTACATTATTTTAGACTTACTTGCCAATCCTGTATTCATCAGGTTTATAGTTTAGATGCTCACAGATTTTCTTGACACCCTCACCTGGATCATCTGGTAAGAACATTTATACAGTAGATATTTGTAATTTATATACACCAACCACAACCACAACTTTATAGGCTTTCCTTTTGTAAATTAAACTACATTTGAACGACAAAACACAACAACAATCAACTTACCATACCACACTGGCCAAGTATCTGGGCACAGACATTTGTATCTGTAATTATAGAGAAATTTGTTTCCAAACTAAAATTTCCATATGAGCCCTTGCAAATTTTTTTTAAGGGGCTTGAGATTGCTCAAAAGCATTTCCTAATTTCTTATATAGAACACTGAATTTGTGGCCTTTACTGTTGCAGTGAGGTGGCTGCTGTTGAGAGGTAAATATAGGAGTGAATGTATAAACCACCTGCAAGAATGAAAAAAGGCCACAATGCTACATGGGAGTTGCTAGATATAGAGTGGTGAAAATAAGTAAAGGTCCCACTGTTCTTAGGGTCATTAACCTTAAAGTCATTTACCTTTGTAAGAAGAATGGGAAAGGTCTGCGGTAAGCAAAACCTGCCCTTCTCACTCTCAAGTTCTCCATCAGACCCAGGTATTTTACCTGATGTCGCACAAGATCATCTTGAAAGACACCTGTACAAAATACAAGCAAAAAGCTGAATATTTGAAGCAACTGATATTCAAAGTTTAGAGGGTGACAAAACAACAGACAATTATACTTGATGACATTGATAAGTGCATTTTTTTTCCCATATGACAGATACTAAGCAAACAGCTAGGGCCTAAATTCAACATCTCATATTTCTGAGCATATAGTAAACACTTCGTGGGGTATTTGTGTCCATGATACATGATGAATAATGAAAGCTATCCAAGCTTTTCCTATAGAAAATTAGTCAAATTAAAGATTTTCCATGAATAATGAGAAAAAAATGATAACTTATTGATTGTGTTAATTAATAAAGGAATGCTGCCCAGGTTCCATCCATATTGTTTCTGTCTACTAGGTGTCAACATTTTTGCAATTGAGTGTAGAGAGGTTTTTCACTACACCTGCTTTCTTTGAGTCATTTGGTTTGATGCATCTGATGTATGATGGCTGTTTACTCATCAAGATTGTCATCAGATTGTTTAAACTTGTCTTGAACTGAGTTCCTGCCTATTAAGTGGCAAAACAGAAGAAACAGAGTTTACATTTTCTCTGAAACATCACTAGGCAGGAGAGCTTGGAAATTCATGATTTCACAGGCAGTTTTAGTCATTCCTAGCAACTGCTCCACTCCATTTAAAATAAATTGTAACTAAGTGTGAGCTTGATGTAGCCTCTAACCATCCTACGACCCTATTGCACTAGACAGGCTTCACTAAAAGCTCAATTTTAACATCATATTATTTTGAGAAAAGACAGCCACATTATTTTATGACACCAAACACACCCCTGCACCCCAAAATTCTATAAATTAGTAGCAAATTATTGCAAGTCCTTGCTCCTCACTGTTTCTGGTCTTTTGAGTGACTCCATTTCTTTCTTGGGGAACACCTTTGATGTGATGCAGTTGGTACTGCTGCACATTGCCTTGAAAGTTATAAAAAATAATAGTTTAATCTTAGTTTCACAAAAGAGGGCATTAAGAAATATTCAGGTTTACAAAATAATTATATTCATTATAATCAGGTTTCAAATTAAATATGACCAGTGTGTGTGTGTGTGTTTTTTTTTCAGAGTTAATGGATGTTCCATGAAGACCCATGAGTGAAGATTGCTGATAAACCCTAACCCTTTACATCCTAACATCAGTGTGCATATTCTCCATACTGTTCTTTATACATTTCCTAAAGTGCTGACATGGAGAATTTGTTTAACGATCAAAAGCTTCTCTAGTTGATGATCAATTCTTTAATTCTTCTGACCTTAATGTGTGATTCTGGGGTGATATTGTGAGGAGAAATTAGATGATGGTCACTCTTAGGGGTCACAGGGTTAGGCCAGTGATCTCCTTTACAAAAGAGTAACTAAGTGAGCTTGTGGAGATCTTTAATTTAAAAGTTGTTTGAAGCTCTATCATTTTCACCCATGAAGAAACACCACTCTAACTAATTCATTATTTACATGTAAAACACAAAGTGTAGCCTGCAGAACTCCAAAGAATATCAACAACAGCATGCAGCAGAAAAAATGAAACATGAACTTCATTAACACTTACTTCCTTCAAATCCCGGAACAGAAGATCATTGTTCTTGTCCATGAAACCTGCATGGAAAATATTTAGATTAATATCTCCTGTATAAAGTATATGCCACAACAAAAACAAGTTGCAACACTCAACAAAGGCTTTTCTCAAAGACAACCATATTATTGGATTACCATTGACACAATATGTGACATCTCCCGCATAGTGCTTCAATCTAAATTCCTGAAAGAAAATTAACATTTTAAGCCATCATAATTATAGTTAGTTCCAGAATTACTTGCATTCAATGTGTTCCACAAACATAAACGGGAAAGTATCCTGAGGCAAAACCATTAAACACTTACCCCTCTTTCAATAGTTTTCCTCTCATTATACCCTGAGGTTGCATGGCTGAAAAAAAAATACAAGCTCCTTTACTGCCAATTCTCCCTTAACCCTTTACCTCCCTAGAGTGTCTGGCTTCTAATTTCTCCTTACAGTACCACCCTTCAATCAAATATAAAAGTAATGAGAATATAGGAAATGATCACCAATTCAAGAAGCTCCTCTTGTCAAAAAATTCTTCATTTCAGTGCCATAAGATATGTAAAGAGATTAGTGAGGAGAATATGAATATTGATATTAGGGTGTTAAGGGTTGAGCACCCTTATTGTTAATGTAATGTTTTTAAAAGATTGACGGATGCTGAGTATTAAGCTTGCAATAACTAATAATTTTATCAATCTTACCTGACAAAGTGAGCATGTTTTCCTATGGTCTTATCCATCTTGTCAAGGAATGTCAAATCTGAGGCTTCTCCAGGTCTCAAGCATTCCTCATCCTTTGAACATAAATCAAAATCAATTTTTTTAACAAAGATCTGCAATGGATACTTTGCCTTAACAGCAAACTTGCATCACAGTCTCTGATTAGTGTTCCTATTATTATGACATCTCTCCCTTATAGTCCATCAAAACATTATCAGAATTCCTACTTCCTCCTTTTTCAAAAACAGGGGTAGTTGATTAAAAGAATCAGTGATGCTCCACATGTTCAACAACACCACTAAGCAGAGTAACAAAACAAATGTCTCTCATTAAAGATAATTAAAGATGTTACTTGTAATATTTGATAAGTCAACATCTCAAAGCTAAATTTTCCTAGAACAATCAACTAAAGCACTTTGGTCTCTGAAAAGCTTTCATAAAAGCAAAGTTAAGTCAGCCTTACACAAAAGTCAGCCATACAGTTTACCAGTAACATCCTTGCAGGAGTTGCTCTGATTTCATTGACTACGGAAAGAGGCCCTTACAGAACCTACCGATCATAAGTTGTGCACTATTTATTTTGAGTAAAATAACACAGATTGTAACTTTACCAGCAATGCAATGACACCTTGATGTCTTGCTTCTATAAGATCACAAATAATCTTGTTGTCAAAGAATTCAACCTTTTCCCACTAAAACCAAAAAAATAGAGTAAAACATTTACCTCTAGAAATAAAATAATTCTTCATCAAAATATTGGTAAAACCCTCTTTACAACTGGTAATTGTAGCATCCAGCATGCCATTTCCATTAAGCACAAATCTACAAGTGTTTTATAAGCCCCAATCTAATTGGCAATGCTACTCTATTCCAAGATGGATATTGAATTAAGTGAGAAGCCTCACTGTGTATGGCTGTATAAAAACAAATATCAAAATATATCCATGGTCATGGAAAGTTTTGAACAAATAGTAGTTTTAAACTTGCTCTCACTTTCTGTAATAGAGCTTCTTTAACCCTTGAACCTTTGGAGTGAATAGCATTTACTTTCTCTTTACAATATCACCTCCGAATCAAGCATTAACTAAAGGACACAAGAATAGAGGAAATGATCACTAAATGAACCAGGTCTTGGTTGTTAAACAAATTCTCCTTATCAGCACCTAAGGAAATGTATGTCGAACAGTATGGAGAATACACATACCGATGTTAGAGGTGTAGAGGAGTAATATTCAGTTCAAACTCTAGAGGGGCAAGATTTACCTTGATTCCCTCTTTCCTGTATTCTTCCTGTTCTTCATTTAGTGTCAGCTCAATAAAAAGCTGCTGAAGCTTCTCATTACAATAATTAATACAAAACTGTTCAAAGCTTGAAGGAAAGAAAAGGAAAAAACAAAGAAAAATGTAAAAAAAATTAAACCTCATTGTTTCAAAGGTAAAGTTTCAAAACAAGGGACACTTGCAGAAAAGTAAAGCAAAAATTGTCTTTGTACCTGTTTGACTCAAAAATCTCAAAGCCATAGATATCCAAAAGACCCATGAGTGTCTTCTTTCCTCGATATGACTGAAATGGTAAAGTCAATCTGTTAAATTTCTAATATCAATAGCTCAGATTGAAAACTTTGCAAAGAACAAAATAAACAGTCATATTGAATTATATTTAATGAATATAGGGTACATAACTAAAAGCAGTCACCAGCCAACTAGGAGAAGCTTTCAAATCCTGTGAGTTTCCAATTTTTGTTGGTCAAGAAGACTAGAAAAGCTGTTTATTAACAACACACACATCACTTAATGGTCCTCTTGGCTATACCTTGTTCTCAAGAGAAGTATTGATTCGGCCAACAAGCCAGGTAAACATTCTGTCATACACAGCCTTTGCCAATGCATCACGAGCATAGACTGCCTGCTCAATGGTCAATGGTGTTCTAACCTAAATCAATAACAATTCATGAAAAAATGAATATATTGTATTATGATGTTCCTTAGAGTTATTATCAGGAGGCAGGTGGATGGCAGAGTTCAAATTAATATATTAGGTAATAGCATGGGGCAGAGTAAAATTAAGGTTTAATGTAATTATGTATGTTTTCTGCTGCCCAAGGGCAATTTCAGCAATTAAAAAAACCTTCTGCAAAAACAAGTGTTACTAATACTTTGTTTTAGGAGGAAAAAAGCATCTCTATATAATATAAAGGGCAAAATATTCTTTTATTAGGAATAATTAATGTCAATAGCACAAGTTGTCGCACAATTTTGTAGGAAGCCATTTTACTGTTTAGTTAGCGACAACAAACTGTAAAATGCACAAATCAGCTGAATTTAATTTATTTTTGTATAATACAGTGTTCTCCAATACCTTATCTCCTCTAGTCTCAAGCGTACGGCTGGTGAGTGCTTTCTCTAGGACCTCTTCTGAGCAACCCAAAAGCTGTAAATTGAATAAATACAAGCGATAGATTGATTAAACACACATCTTGTATACTAATTAAATGCTGAATTTCAAAACCACTTTTGAGAAACATCAGGCTGTTATTTCACAAATACAATATATGCTTCCTAGCATTCAATGCACTAGGCAGTGTCACAATCACTACCACCCTCATGGTCATCATCCTCTGTATTTTTGTCACCTCAGTCAAATTTTGGTAAAAAGCTAAATATCAGCTTGAAATTAGCAATAGTTTGATTAAGTTTTATCTTACAAGCCTAATACACATTGCAGGTAGAGCTTAATATACTGTTTAACATAGTTTCCATTGTGGTGATAAGGTATACAGCTTGTCTTCATGAACAGGTTGCTAGTCCATAAATGGAACCCCCAGTAATTTTTCCACTTCTCCTGCTAGTTAACTAGTACCCACTGTGATGTATTTGGCCAGCAGCTGTCTTACACGCATATGCATTGAAAGGCAGCCCAACTGGGAGAGCCGCCATGTTGTAATTAATGTATTTGTTGTGTTGTTCTTTTAAATCTGGTTTAATCTGCCTCATTTAAAACCATTGTCGGTTCCTCGATATTTAAGACCCATTTCAAGTATGGAGTGTGGAATTGTGAAAAGTTAAGTATGGTTTACCACATTAATCAAGCTGCGGTTCAAACTCTAACCTTTGAACTCTAGCCTCTCAAACCCTCCCTTTTTTATGTCTAGCCCAGGGTGCTAACAGTTAGGTGACAAATCTCCTACAACAATAATTTTAAAATATAATGCACCTTTGAAATAATATTGACCGGCCTCCCATTCTCAAGTCTAACTTCACCATGTTCAACTTCAGGTTTCAAAAACCCAACTGTTCCCAGGTGGAGGACTGAGGCTATGATGGCAAACAGAGCATTCTGCTCTTCTGCAGAAAATTCAATTACAGACAAAGCCTTCTTTACATGGTTGAAGTCTGCAGCATCATTCAGTGTTTCAACACGAGGGTTACCACCCTGAAAAAGTGAAAATGTACAGAGTTGTAGGAATCTTAGTTTAAAATGGTTCAAATGAACAATAGAAAATTTGGACATTATGTTACAGACATTGTGTGATTGAAACAATAAATTTTAAGGTTTGCAGTATGAGAAATCACACCTATGTGACAAACTATCATGCACAGGCCCTGTTCCATCCAGTTTTTATATATATCACAAAGGAAGAGTATTTACAGGAACAGAACCTGCAAATCATAAATGAATCATAAAAATTTTAAGTTTAAGTAAATTGCTGGTAATATACCTGGTTAAGATAAAAATATTGTGAACTTTCCCATTCTAATTCAAGATTCTCAAGTAACTGTTCACCACCACCATGCAATAACTGGTAAAAGATGTGAAAATTCCTTTCACCTAAAAAAAGAATAACTCATTAATGTCATCATATGAACCAAGTTACCCATACGACAGGTTGGAGTTTATCATAGCTGTGATAGTTTCAAGCATGTAGCAGTTAGAAGTCTAGCCCACAATACCAGTCCATTACAGGTTTAAACCCTCTGCCCTGACAACATGAACCCCTTGTACACTAACATCAGTATGCATATTTTCCATACTGTTCTCTGTATATTTCCTAAGGTGCTGACAGTGGAGAATTCATTTAACAATCAAATCTTCTTTAGTTAGAGATCATTTCCTCTAGTCTTGTGACCTTGGTACTTGATTCAAGGGTGATATTGTAAGGAGAAATTAGATGCTAGTCACTCTTAGGGGTTCAAGGGTTAAGTCATATCATAGTTTATAAAGGGCAATAAGGTCTATGAAAGGTTTCTTTGAACTTGATTAGACAGAGTATACTCAAGAGGATTCCAGTTGGTTGGGGAGATAAGCACAGTGAGAATAAAGTTCATCACCCATGAACACAAATCCATCACAAATCAGTGCAAGGGCTCAAACCTGACCCATGGGATCCCAAGTCTACTGAGATAAACACTGGGTCACCACACCTTCCACACTGAGTAAAAAAACTGATCTATATAAACATTTTAAAATAAGTTTAGGATTAAACCTCAACAAACCTTTTGCCTGATGGACGACTCTGGATTTTTCTAACAAGTAGTTTATGATATGTCCACCAACTGGAGAACCCTGAGGAAAATAGAGCACATTAATCAGTTGCTAAGAGCATTTAGAGCCACATTATTCTATAAAAGAGAGTAAAGATTGAAAATTAATACCAGTAACACTTTTAATAATTGTACACACTCTGCAATGAATACAGCTACTATAATATGCACCTATTGTTAAGCCACCAGATCTCTCTTATTTAATAATCCTTGTTCCTCACCTTGAAATCAAACTGAATATCCATGTACTTGCCAAATCGACTTGAGTTGTCATTACGATTTGTCCTTGCATTGCCAAAAGCCTAGAAAGAAAAAATGAAACTGTAAAGCTTCAATTTAAATTGCAGGGGAAGAAGAAACAAGACACAAAATTTCTCACAGTTTTTTCAAATCTTAATGTCAGCCTAGTGATAACAATAACTTGAAGAAAAACAACATATACCATTAGCATGAGATCAACTTTAAGGCATGATAGAGTAATTTCTTCTCAAAAACATAAGTCAAGCAAAGCTATATTGTCAGAGACCCAAAGTGGGCATGCCTCATTTGCACACATTGCTAAAACTTTCTGTTCAATTGGTTAACCTCATTGCACATTGCATTTGTTTCTCTGTTGTGATTTTAAGACAGCAGCTTTTTTGTGTGAAATCCAGCTAATTTAAAATCACATACACATTCGTTTATCCCTACTATTCATAACAAGTGGCTCTCATGACAACCATTCACTTAATCCTTTACTCCCTAACATCAGTATGCATATTCTCCATACTGTTCATCATACTCTTCTTAAGGTGCTGACGAGGAGAATTTGTTTAACAATCAAGATATTCTTTAGTTGGCGATCATTTCCTTAATTCTTGTGACCTTCACGTGTGATTCAGGGAAGTTATTGCGAGGAGAAATTAAATGTTAGTAATTCTTAGGGGTGAGATGGTTAATCCAGGTGAAGCAGCATTACCAGAAATATCCCACACTCTCTCGTGGCAGGATCACAGATTGGCCCCTTTCATAAGCCCAAACCATCCTCATTACTGTTCTACTTTATCTTATTGCACTGTTATCTCAAAGTTTAATTCACCCAAGAGGAATTTTCTTTGATATTCATAATGCCTTGAGATGACTGAATTTTCTCTACAATACCTCCAAAACAGGGTTGCTCTCCAGAAGCCTATCTTTAATTCGCTCCACATCAACTGAGTGGGTGCTTATTGCTGCTAAATACTCCAAGATCTTTTTGGATGCCTCTAATTAATCAATGTAAACAAAACATATTTCAATGAGGTTAAGGTGTAATATCTAGTGGCAAACTGTCCTTATGAAACCTTGAGGTATCCTCACTCTTAAAAGGATTGCAATTTTACAAGGACAGACAATCGCAATAAAATGTGTATTAAAGGGGGATGGGTTTGGGAACCTGGAATGCCTTGGAGGTAGGTACAGCAAGGGTAGAGAAGACGAGAGGACATAAAATGAATATGGCTCTTTAAATCAAAATCATTTTAGACACTGGTGTCCAATTTTAGAAACTAGTATCAATTTTTGGACACTAGGATCTGATTTTGGACAGGAATGTCCAGTTTAAGACACTAGTGTTCAATCTTAGATACTAATGTCCTACCTTAGTCACTGGTGTCTGATTTTAGACTCTGGTGTCAAAGATGCAGAGATCAGATACTGGCAAATAGAGGATTCTCCCCTCCAACCTCGTACCCCCCATTTTTGAGAGAAATAAAGAGTTATTAAGATGTGAAAGTACATTTAAAGATCATAAAAACTATCAGTTTTAGTAGAGCTGCATGATTATTTGTAATTTCTATCACCTCTCAACTTGACCAACTTGATACAGAAAAGTTGGACACTGTTCACTCCTGTGGGTAAAATTAAAGTGGGCAATTTACCTGTCTTTCCAGATCCACTCTCTCCAGAAATCAAAACACATTGATCAACTCTCTCTTCTTTCATGGAACGGTAAGCAGAATCTGAGATGGCATAGCTATTAAACATAGTTACAAATCATTAGAATATAATACATGCAAGGTCTTCAAGATCAGTGGGCCATTGTGCTTACATCTTCCAGCCACTTTAGGTAATTGGAAGCATGCCTACTCAATGCCATTACTAGCACAATTCTCAGGATTAATCCTTTCATTACTAGGAATGATCAAATGACACTTGTTCCCAACAGTATAAATAGATCTTCAAACAGAAAGATAAGAAAAAAAATTTATCAATTGCTGCATTTACCACTGCCCAAATTCTTGAAGATAACATTTTAAGAAATGCATGGTAAACAGTGTGCAAGTGAATTTGCAAGTGAAAGGGTTTCCAATGCCATTTAAAATTAGAAATTCTCTATTTCAAATGTAGAAATATTCTTTTAAAACAAAAGAAGACTTCTTTCACTTCATGTGCCCTTCAAAATGCTTAAGGACTATTATTTGGCTATTTGATTATTATTATTTGATAACCTTTACACCCTAATACCAGTACAAATATTCTCCACACTGTTCTCTATATATATACTAGGGTGCTGACAAGGAGAATTTATTTAACAATCAGGAGCTTCTTTAGTTGGTTATCATTTCCTTTACTCTTGCGACGTTTATGTGATTCAGTGGTGATATTATTAGAAGAAATTAGAAGCTAGTCACTCTTTGGGGTTAAAGTGTTAACAACAACTAGTGGTAATAGTTTGGTTTTAGACTAGGCGTATAATTCTAAAACTTGGCATGGTAGTGAATCAGTAATGCACTCAGCCAAGAGGTGATCAATAACAATCAACATTTATTAATCTCTTGCAACGCCCACAAAGTCACGGCTATGTGAATAAAAAAGAAGAATGAATGTCATTGGTTCTTGAAATAAATTACAAGAATTAAGTGCTCATTGTCATACAGGTTAGTATATAAATAATTCTTCCAGGAGGTCAGTTTTTACATGTTTGGAGACCAATAGCTTACATGTTTGCTCGGATGCTGTAAATGTTATCAACTATGAATAGCAACTTTAACCAGCTAAAAAGTCAGCAGATCAAGAAAAAAGTCAGGTTTGATCTCGCCATGACAGAGGCTTTAAGTGAGATCTCCTATAATCTCAAAGAATTTAAATCAGAATCTAAAAGGCAAAGAGAGAAGGCAGACTTTCAAAGAGGGCAACAAAGTACCCCAGCAAGCTTAATAAGAGATAACAAAGCAACCTTAAAGAGAACAAAAGGAAAACTTCAAGAAGGCTCATCCACACAGCTGACTCCAACTTTATCAACAATCTGCTGGGTTTTGGAATGTTATGATGAACAAGACGACGTTGACCCACCGGATTTGAGCCTTGACTTCATTAATATTTTAGTATGTGGAAAGCAAAAGAAAAGAACTTAACACAATATTACTTGAAGAAATTTGGACATTTGGTCGAGACATATGAAAGGAGCGCATTTAACTGCATCACCTATATAGGGTTGGAATTTCACCTGGATTTTGGAAACAACCAAAAAAACATAACATTTCTCCAAGGTACTCAATTAGATTATAAAAAGCCTTAAGATTGATTAAATCTTGGGAAAGATTTTAAAATAACTCCATCTGCACCTGTCTGTATATCTAGGAATCCACCGACCAAATTACATGCAAATTGCACATAGGCATTTTTTAATTTCACACTCAAGCAATATCATTGATTAATTATTGGTAAGAGTTGCTGTGTCACAATGGCAACAAAACCTTTCAAGCTTAAAATTTATGCAGCCACATAACTCAATATGCTCATGAAAAAGAAAAGCTTGTGTAACAGAAAGGTGTAGTTTAGTTTATTTTAAACACTCCAAAGGCCAGAAAAGTTTTTTTTACTATTTTTGGAATATCTTCTTCATATAAAAGGAACACTTAAAAGTGCTTCCAGATAAATCATGCAAGTGTCTCTAAATTGACCTCTTATCATTCAAGTATAATACCTTTATTGCTAAGCAACAAGAGAACAAAAGCCTTGGAATTTACGGTGCCCTCCTACACAAAGGAACAACACTGAATGCTCTATTCAAGAACAACTGCACTCATTCTAGCCCTTGATCAAACACAACCCATGTCTTATCTCCTTTTCTAGTCCCAGAAAAATATCACATTATTGAGCCTCCCTTAGACTGACCCATGCATTTGTGATAGCAAACAATTAAGACACTTCCCTGCTTTCTATTCACCATGACTGGTAGAACTCTGAGACACTGCCTTAAAACAAAAGCCATAGTCAAAGAGCATCAATAATCTGGCTGAAGGCTTTGCATGAGTACACATTTAGCTTAAGAATTTCTACCCGTCCTCTCTTAAAATAAAGGCTCTCTTATTCTTTTAATATTTGCAAGTAAATCAGGGTAACTCATTGTAGATGATTAAAGTCCGAGGAGAAACATGCCCAAAAAGCAGCTCATGTCAGCCCCTATATTGCACTTATGCTTCAAGTCAAGTTTCCTCCCAGCAGAGTGAACCTGACCTCACATGTGGTCAAATTCCTTTGGCAAAAAATAAAAATCAATGTATTATTACCAGTAACATCAAGTAGTATTTTATTTGTTTTAAATTTATCAGAGCAATAAATAAACTTGATCTCTCCATGCTCCCAACATCATAACTTAATCAATGCTATAGTAAGTGTTACATAACTTTTTTGTGTCCATCCTAAAGAAAAATTAATCAAAAGTTTCCTCTAAGAATCTTGTTGGACATGGCACTAACTGAAATGAAAAATTTTTGAGATGGAGCATGTGTCCCACCATCGAGAAAATTCATTTTCTCTGCAATTTTGACACCATGTTATGTTTTTCATCCTCATGAATAACACTTCATCTAATTGATCACCAAACTTATAACAAATGGCTTCTTTAAGAGCCAAAAATTAAGGTTAGCCAATGAATTCAAGAAATTCTTCTTTAACTTTGTTACCAATTAAAATGAATATTTATAAGCTAACACCACCATAGTAAATAAGGGGTAGGTAATCAACAACTTCAGTCAATATAACACAACTTGAGAAGCATGTAGTATGCCTTGTCACATGGCTTGCTGGGAATGTGACATAGCGCAACAGTGCAATGAGGCTACATGACCTATTACCCTACTCATGAGCTTCTTTTGTCTTATCCAGTCTGGAGAGAAAGACAGGCTTTGCTGATATTCTTTTTCTAATTTTATATTAGTGAGGAAATGTCAGACAAGTACAGCTTTCTTTTTTTATTTATTTATTTAATGGATTCTTACAAGTACAAGTACAAGTACAAGTACAAGTACAAGTACAGGTGTATAACAATAGGACATAAGTCCCCTACTTGGTTAATGCACCCTTTACTTTCCTTTAAAGTCATGTCCAAACTGCAACAAGACTGTTTCCCCCCTTGCTTCACCATGTAGTTGTCTGCACTACTTTGGCCATTACCTGACAGCTGTTTACATAACATGTTGTACACCTCAGGAGTGTCAAAAAAAATTGAGTAATCAGTTTAAGAAGGAGTCTTAATAACCCCTTCACTCTCAAGGTGTTAGTATCAATTCCTAACTCCTGATGTTTTCCTTATAGGTTTAGTTCTGACTGTTTAGGATTAAATCAATCAATATCCCCTTGTTGATAAATTTCTCTCTTCTCATCACCTTTCTGGATGATAATGTATCACACTGTAAGAAGAAATTACTCACTGGTCACCCATCAAAGGCCAGATTGCAACTCATTATTTTTTATCTGAGTTGTAATCAACATTTTATGAATCTTGCACATCAATTCATTGTTGTGATTGAAAACCTACAAAATTTAATAAAAATAGAAGCATATTTTGTAATACAAATCTACCTACCTAAAATGACCAACAATAAAATACCATTTATCAGTTTTTGATAAAGCAGAAGAGGGAGAATTAGACATGTCATAATGCAGGACCTTATAAAACTTTAAGATTTAAATAGGGGTTGGGATTATCAGTGTTTAAATGGTATCATTCAAATTGTAAAGAGCTAATAAATGAGGAAATTGAACCAACTGAAAAAGATTTAAGCCTTCAGATACCATAATTAACTGTTGAAAAAAGCAAATTTTATCACAGTGCAAAGGTGACTGTCATTAATTTTTAAACAAATTAAAAATATTTCAAATTCTTCACCTGTTAAATTCATATGCATATACTTTGGACAATATTAATATCTATCAAAACAAATATTGTTATAAGGTAATTCAATAGCTATGAGCTACTTGCTAAGAGAAAGTACAAAGTTTTGAGCTTTAAAATTTAATTTTATGAATTTCAGTATGTTTTACTCCTTTAATATTACATGCATTTTAAATTTTAAAAAAAATTAGGTTTAATTTACGATGCGATTAAAACCATTGTGCGATCGCTCGATGAAATTGCTTCAGCAATTCGATGAATAACCCATTAATGTCAAGCCAAAATACTCGTCATAAATGATAATCTGATTTCTGTATAATAAGGTGTAAATGACATAAATGAGCCCTGCAGTTAACTTACACGTGGGGTGGGAGTTCATAAAGATTTTCCCCTCGGTACTTTTCGATAGCTTCTTGATTGTAAATTGGAAGAGTCTTGTAGGGGTTTACGGAAACAACCACTGTTCCGATGTAGGTCTGTTGAAGAAAATAAAATGCATCTAATTATAACACTGACACAAAGCAATAATTCACAAAAACTATCACTATGTGTTCAGGTAATCAGTTTCTGCTGATTTATCGTGGAAGAAAATATTAACAAGCTTTGTCAATTGTAAAGTTAGCGAAAACAGCTGAGTAACGGGAAGTATTTACAGTTAGAGCAACACTTTGGTACTGAAACTAAAATAGGATTCCAAATACAGATTATAATGGCACTTAGGGACAAAAAAAATCGTGTTGAGCTATCAAGTTCAGTTCTTGAATGAAGGGTTGAATGGCTAGCGCGCTGCAAATGAGCACCTCGCGAATCAAATCATACTTTCGTATAATTAAGCAAATTTTCACGTCTTTCTATACTCACATAAATCAAGCCAGAGTTGTAGCGTTTCCTCAAGTTATCTAAGAAGGCGTCTTCGCTTTTAAAGTCCTCAAGAAGAACGAAATCTTGAACTCCAATGCGATCCCTGGCTTGCAGATCGCTCTCCATGACTAAACTCACGGCTAAAACTTAGGAATGCAAGATTGTCTGAGTAGAAAAATGATTCCTCCTAGTGATAGACCAAAACTCACGAGAGAAAAAAGTTTAATTGAGGCGGTAAACTAGTGTTTTTCGTTCACACTTTTGCATTCAAGAACTGAAAGGTCAGAAAATAGCTTCGAAACAACTTCACCACCGGTTGAAGTAAAGTTTGACGGCTCTATTCACACCCCGAAAAGTTTGCTGGCGCACGTAAGGGCTTGTGACCACTTAACCTGATACCGGAGATCTCTGACCGCAAAATTTATCACCACAAATGGCGAGATATATTTGAATTTCTTGCCGACTTTGTTGTGGCTGTCAGCAAATCTTTCCTTCCTTAAATGGCTACATGTAGAGGCACATTTTAGAGAAATCAATATAAGAGTTTAGCTGACGTTTGAATTCTAATATTACCGCTAACGGATTAACCAATCACATTCCAATGTCGCCTGACAATAGTTTCCGGTCATCGCTGACCCCGTGAACCTATTTGTTTGAAACAGCTTTAAATGGTTATTCTTTTACTTTCGCCGACATATCATAGACATGTACATGCTGTGTTGCTTTGTCTTTCGCTCAATATTCAAAACCCCTCATCTAGCCATTCTGATATCACAGTTTTGTGCCACAGTTCGAATAACTTTGTACAATTGTTAGTTCCCGGGTTTTTTTTAATCACATCCACATTTCAGTGCTTCGCCCAGTATTTTGCCATAACCGTGTGGTTCTGGTTCAGTCAAGAAGGGAAAATCTGGTGAATCACAAACCCTTAAAAGTGAGCGTGACGTAGTGAATGGCACAGTACCCATTCAGACTCTACACCTTTTTGTTTCCTAGCCCCTTTTCGAATATTCTTATCTGCAAATTCTTTGGACACTTGTTTGTTTAATCAAATGTTAAATAAATAACCTAATAAATTACAACTGATTTTATGACTCCTGATAAAAAGTTCCATCATCAAAGATTAAGACCGCGAGTAATCTGGGACCAAGTTATCAAAATAAACATGGCTGCCTGCGTGAAGAGTTTGATTGGATTATAGAATGGAATATTTTCGATATTTAGAGCCGTGGCTTGCTTCCTGGAACATCTCTCTAGATTCTGTACATCTTCTCTCAAATAAAACAGTAAAATGGAGCGAAATCAGAGAGAACTTTAGGGATCTCTGGCGAAACGACGATTGGCAAATTCGTTTGTCTTGGTTTTTGATCGTTTGTACAGTAGTCAACTTCGTGTTCATCGGTATAGCGTGGAAAATTTACGGTGAGACAATATCAAACATGTTCTTTAACAAATCAAGATCACCGTTACACCAGAGGTCAAAAACAAACGTGTTATCAAGCAGCATGGAAGACTTATTCGTTAAAAAGATTCAGTAACAAGACATAGACAGGTGACGTCGACGTGTATTACGTACACCCCGTATGAAGTGTTTAACCCAGTACGCGTTCTTTGTTCGACTTCAGTTGTGAAAAAGGATAGTATGAACTGTGTATTGTCTATGAAAATGAACTTGAGGATCTGATCAACATTACGAGTGAGTTTCTGTAGGGGATTTCCAATTTGAAAGGTCAGAGTAACACAGGTTTGGATTGATTTCTTCCTCAAGTGGTCTACTTTCTCAACCAATCGAACGCTAAACGAATATCATCTGAGTTCTCACTGGCTACTTGGGATATTTTCCATTGCTCTGATTGGCTTTAGTCTTTACTCTGGTTTCTTAGCACAATTTAAATGTACATTTTTGTTGCCAAGAGTTAAGTATCAGATTGTAAAACTGAAGGGTTTACAAATTAAAGGATGTTCAGCTAAGTGATAAAGGTTCAGTCAGCTAGGAGAAAATAATTGAAAGTCATATTTTTCGTCTTGTCACGAGCTTGGGATAAAGAATAAATTCTGAGTCCCCATGAGAAAGTTACCATCTTTCTTATTCTGTTTACAAGAAAATAAAGATGTTACTTTTTGCTGAAAAAGTTGTGAGGACAAAGAACATACTTTCCTTAAATACACTGATTTATTTTTAAACCAAATTTATACAAAATAAAGTTCCTCCCTAAGATAAAATAACAGTGTCAAAACTACATATTCTGTGTATGGAATACTTCACAAATGGATATTTTTCTTTAGTTGACCATTAATATTGTGGTAATACTCCCTTGAATCTAGCTAATAAAAAATTGAGTAACATGAAACCACCAAATAATGTAGCTGAGTTTCCCTCTATGGTCTTTATGTGAATAGGAAAGAGTTTAAAATTTAATTGAAATGAGACTTCCCCTTACTTTTTACTTTTATATGACTGCAGTTATTCTACAAGAAAAAAAAGGACTTTTTTTCCTGGATGACTCATACTGTCAAAATACACTAGTGACTAATTTTTTCCAATATACTGTGTTGTTTTCAGCAGAGGGTACATAGCTTTCTGATTATCCCCAGGGTCAACAATATTTATAGCCTGTACACAAAGACCTTTCACCAGCTGTTGTTGTTTTGGCAGAGAAAAGTGACAACCTAAAGGACATTTCAGTTCTCCTGCTACAACTTTGAAGGAATTAAACTATTCTGCATTTCCAAAGTGGATAAAGGATGATTCTTCCCACCAAAGAGTTTGAACCCAACTGTTTTAAGCAGTAGTTGCTGTATCATTACAAAATGGCATTGGCTCCAATTCAATGATCAGTACCAAAGTGTCAGATCCTACTGTATGATTGCCACTGTGTACAATTTAGCTTACTATAAAAGGTTCTTCATTGTTAAAATACAACAAATTTCATTTATATAAATTTTAAATATTGTGCAACAATATATTAAATATCCTCAAATTTATAATTAAGTTTAATAAATATATTATTATTGTTATTGACTTAGAGCACTTCCAAAATTTTCCTCACTGTGGGGTTCACCTTAAAAGATGGAAAAAGAAAGTACATCAGGTGAGGAAAAAAAATGAACACATGTTAGCATCAAAATGAATAAATGAAAATATAACAGAGTTAATCTGTATACTAACAATCCTCTTTCCTTTCCTCCTGCTAAAATTTATTCATTACAATGAACATCTATCATCAACCAGAGTCTGGACAATTCTCCCACAGCCTGATTACTCTATGGCAGAGTTTTATTTTGGAGTTTCATTTTGCCTCTTGGCAATATTTTTTTTTTCAACAGATAGTGAAAAATTTTTGCTGTTCAAGATTTCTGAAATTTCTGGTGAGAACTAATTTTTGCAATCTTCTTTTCAAGCAGCAGAACATCAACAAGGAACAAAACCTGACATGTTTAACATTTTTTACCGGTTAAATTAAAGCAAACTTGACTTCAAACACCTGATTCACTAAAGTAAATTTACCTTACAACCCAAAGGACCTGACTCAAAAACAAAATCGCACAAAAACCTCACCTTAGCCCCCTAAATACTCTTATGGTGACTTTGATTTAACAAAACATGATACTTTTAGCAACATTTCATTTCCTAGGTGCCTTCTTCTGGAAAAGAAAATTTACCTAATCCTACCTAAAAAATACAACAGTTGTAAAACTTACAGGGAATCCACTAAGTTTGGATTTTAATCCACAGAAGTCAGCCTCTTCAATAATTTCCTTTGAGCTGTATGGGTTGTTCTTTTCTGTCACCCTAGAATGAAAAAATATATATGTATAGCATGGATCAGCAGTTGACGGAACTTTAGAATATTGTTCTCAATACAACTGGGGTCACATGAATCAGATCCTATCAAAAACGTAGAACTGATCAATCTCATTATTCAAAATTAACACTGAATCCCATTTTAATTCCTTATCATGTTTACTTGTTTTAGTCCAAAGTAATGACTGGCGAAAACAAAGTTTAGTTGGAATCACTGTTTGTTTCTCGTATATCAATAAACTTGTGACAGTACAGTGTTGTTTGCATAACACCAAAAACAACCATGGCACAGTTAAGATACAGTTATACCAAAATGTTTAAGATTCAAGCAAGCTAACCACTTCACTATGTACTTACTGTGTTTCTGAGAAGAGGAACCTTTCAGAAAATGCAGCAATTGCTGAAAACTGTGCAAGACTGAAAGTAGACTTCTCATTTCCTTCAACCATCTGTAATTGAGAAAAAATATCTAACTTGTAACTTGAGCTGAAAACAATAACTATTTTTTTCATCAGTTATTATGATAATAATTACTTCCTACTCAGTCAATGATGTATAACAACATCATTGTAAAACAGTTGAATAGCATTAAAGGTGTGCTGTGATTGGCAACTCAATTCACCTCCAAGCAACATGCAGGATTTGCACCCAAAAATATTGTAATCATTGCAGGTATAAATTTAATTAAAATCATCTTTTTTAGCTATATTATTAACATGCACCACTGGCCACCTCCACTTTGGTGAATAGATATTAAGTACAGACAGAATCTTCTTGGAAAAAATGGAGGCACAATGACATCAGACATACCTCGATTAGTTTCTTGACCTGTTCTGTTGATATAGAGTCCACATGTATCTCCCTTAAGCCCTTGTCCATCTCCTTTTAATCAAATTAAAAGAAGCTTATTGAATTTTGACACAAATTTTAAAACTAGGATATGGAAAGATCAAAATACTTTTAGTTGAATTACCTACCTTAAAAGTTATTTGATTATCTCTATCTTTATCCACCTTCTGAAATATATGTTTGTAAAGTGCTTTCCTTCTTGTGCTAGAAAGTAACATACTGAATTAATTTAATCTGAAGAAATGACTGCTCTGCAGTCAGATGGTTAAATTGTGGACCTAAATGACTAAATGGAAGAATTATCCTCACAGGTTCACTGTGATAAAAGAAACTACAGAAGATAAGTTTGAAAACTTCAGGCTTCACTCAGGTTTGCACCAATGCCTCTCATTAACTAGTTTGTTGCTCTAACAAATGAGCTACTGAGCCACTTGCTTTTAATGAGCTCTCTGTTCCCTTTAAAGAAATGTGATTGCAAGTGAATGCACTAAATTATACTTTGATGTGTGCATGATTACAAATGAAAGAATGATATTCACACTAAACTGGAATTAAACAAGTTTCAAAAGAGAATTCTGATAAATTCAGGCTTTGACAAGGTTCAGTCATATGCCAGTCCCAGTTATCAGTTGCCCACTTGGAAACTTTGAAGCATTAGACCCCAGATGAGGCCCAAATTTTTTCAGGCCTTTTTTTTTTTTTCAATTTCTTTGAATGCAATTCAACTGAGAGGATCAACTTCAAGTCAAAACATCATTCATTCCATCACTTCTTGAGAATTGCATGGCAGTGGAACAATTCCAAAGTTTGATAATGAAGAGACAAGGTTCAATTGAGATGAATAAGCAACTAACCTTATGATACA